ATATATATATATATATATATATATATATATGGTAATACAGTTATAATATATATCACACATATAGTGCAGATGTTAACAAAACAGTGCAAAAATATACATATGTTAATAAATATACATACTATCACACACCTCTAGCACGACTCAGTCTTCTAGCACAGAATTCAGTTCGGTTACATTGGGCCTGAAACTCAGAGCTGTGCTTGAAGTGTGAGATTGTATTAATATTTATTAATATATATATATATATTTTATTTTTTACTCATTTTGGGTCTTTTTTTCTTTGGACTTGGAGCTTAAACACTGGACGATTGTTTTCGCCTTGTTTTAATGTTCTTGGTTCTTTCTTTTTTTATTCCCCATTTTTACTCAGGTACTGATTTGTTCTACTGCAAGTTGAGCTATCCAAGGTTTTTCCAAATGAGTACCACTATATATATATATATATATATATATATATATATATATATATATATGCTGAGGTTTAAAGGCACAGAATTACACCTGTTTAAGTCTTCATTGAATTTACAATGAACTGGAAGTCAGTTTTTATTGGTTGCTAGATCCTCTATTTTATGGCTCTGTGAGAGTCTACAATGGATGTGGAAAAACTTCCAAATATTCATGTGAAAACCTCAGCAATGAAAATAATTTTAAAGAGACCAAAATTTCACCATCTCTAAAAATAGTTCAACCAACCAATCAAAAAGCTTTTACAACCAGGACATAAGGCCACAAGCCAATGAGAAACGAATGGCCTTTTCTAAGTGGATCTATGATGGAAGATCAACCAAAATCAGAATTGATAAATTAATTTTGTTCATTCTCCAATGCTGCGGTCATTGTAAACACACCGGAGATGAAATACATTTGCAAGGCTAGCTGGCGAGCTTAGACAGCTACACCATTGTGCTACATTTGAAAACGTACACTTTTCTTCATCCATATTGTTAAGGCAGCAGTTACTGTTTTACATACAAACAAACATACATTTACTTCCTCTCAGACTCTTTCTAACTTATGTGCCAGGACTTTTGCACTTGAACATTTAAACATTCAACTTTCACCTTATCTTCCTGTATTATAATATTGTATTATATAAAGATTTTGTATTTATCAATATTCTGTGCATTTTCTTTTAATCATTACATAAATACAATATAAACACAAAACAATTATACTGATATATCATAGGGATGGATGTCATCATCAGATAAACAACTTATTTATAACAAATAAACTCCTGACCGAAAATGATATCAATATCCACTTTTATAGTTAAACACACTATCATAGATATTGAGCACTTTTACACATAAATATAGCATACTTTAAAATTATATTCTATAAAATTTTATATATATATATATATATATATATATATAGATATATATATATGTGTGTGTGTGTGGGTGTGTATTAGGGCAGCAGATCATTATTTAATCATATATTGTTAAATATAACTGACAATGAATGTCTATTATGTTTGATCATGAGCCATTCTAAATGCTGTATATTTGATTTAATTGTGGATGAAAATAAAAGCAAAAATTGTCCAACATTTGGCTTTTTTTTTTATTAAACTGTTCCTTGATCTAAGCTTTTAGCTCACATGAGCCATCTTCAGAGTGGTTATGCGGACATTTAAACAAAGATATTCACCATTGAAGATAATATTTTGTTATGTTGACATAGAAGATTGCTACGTGATGATAATGGTTGCAGAATAAAAGACACATGTCGCAAATTCATGATGCAGTTCTATGACATTGTACCAGGTGATATATATATATATATATATATATTATACTGTTACATTGCTCTGCTCTTACCGTGAACTCTCTTTGGATTAATATCCTCCTTGGAATAATCCCTACCATTTGGTATTACATATATATATATATATTATATATATAACAAATGTTCAACTTATCTGTCCCTACTCAGAGTTTACCAGACATGCTATCCACTCATCAGAGTAAGGGAGAGGACTTGACAGTAAGAGTAAACTTATTTACAGAAATCATATTTTTTCTTTGGAAATTATAACCATCCCCCAAGTTTAAAAAAAAAAAAAAAGAGTTTCTATAAATAAATTCAATCTTACTATCAAAAACCCTGATGAGAAGATACCATATCTGCGAAAATCCAAGTAGAGACAGATAAAGCGAACATTTCAGTTTGTTTGCTCAGCAACTTAATTTTTTGTCAGATAACCTGCTCTTATTTAAAATATATGATATATAGAGAGAAACAAATAAAATTACATAATCAACTTATCTGTCCCTATTCAGAGTTTAGTAGATATGGTATCTATTAAACTCTGAATTTGGGCTGGAGGTGCTTGACTACAATAAAACTTCTTTATAGAAATCATATTTTGCTTTAGAAATGATATCAATAAATTCAGTTTTACTCTCAAACTGCCTGATGAATAGATACAATATTTGCAAAACTTCACACTTCATTATATATATATATATATATATATATATATATACATATGCCATATTTATTACAACGTTTCAGCCGATGTACAGTCCAGTCTTCTTCAGGTGATTGGAATGTTGAACTTAACCCTTTATTTCGCTAACTGGTGTAGACTGTTTTAGTTCCACGTGCCATGTTTAATGAATGTCAGTTATCAGTTATCTCCTGTTAATTCCTCTCTCCAGGTTCTCCACTGCTTTAGCTGGGTATTGAACTCACACTCTTTGGGTTCTGTCACTGGATCTAACCAATGCCTTTATCCGCTGTGCCATGTGTTCAATACCCGGTTAAGGCAGTGGAGAACTTGGAGAGGGGAATTAACAGGAGATAACTGATAACTGAAATCCATTAAACATGGCACATAGAACTAGTCTACCCCAGTGAGCGAAATAAAGGGTTCAGTTTGACATTCCAACCACCAAAAGAAGGCTGGAGCATACAATGGCCGAAACGTTGTAATAATTATGGCGACAAAGATGAGGACAATAGCCCGAATAATGTAAATAATATATATATATAGGCATTAATGTGAATAAATCAAATAACTAGATGTTATCAATAATAATATAAATAGTGTAGATATTAGCAACTGTTTATATGTGTTAGCGTACATACACAGATAAGCGAATAAATATTTACTCAATTTAATATAAGGTATAAACAAAACAGTGCTCAATGCGGTTAGACAGTGCAAAGAATTATGTATTAATAAATATACATATATATATATATATACCTATGTTCAAAGCACAACTTAAAGTTTTATTATTCTACTGAATTATTACTTCTGATGAGTTGGCAAAACAACATATATATACACACACACACACACACAAGTATAGGATTGGTGTATACGGAATAAATTCCAATAACCAACAAATACTATTCTTAAAAGGGTGCTCAATACAGAGTAGAGCAAATATAATTATTTATTCGAAAATTATAACATAATTATGTTATAAAATCACTACAAATATAGCTATTTTGTTTCAACACTTCTGATGTCTTATCAAGTGATGGTGTTGAATATAGAATAAAACCCTTTATTCTACATTTAACACCATCGCTTGAGAAGACACCAGAAGTGTTGAAACAAAATGGCTATTTTTGTAGTGATTTTAAAACATAATTATGTTATAATTTTTGAATAAATAATTTATATATATATATATATATATATATATATATATATATATATGTGTGTGTGTGTGTGTGTGTATATGTATGTATGTATGTATAATATAGTTTTAATGTATGCTATATTTATTGGTTAAACTGCTCAATATCAGAGATAGAGCGTGCGTAAATATAAAAGTGGACATGGAAGTCAACACCCAGAGGCGACAGTCTGTTTCATACTAAACACAATTGTTTAGCATGAAACTGACTGTTGCCTTTGGGTGTTGACTTCAATGCCCACTTATATATATATACATATAAAATTACACAACAAAATTTAAAATTACCTCATATCAGTATAGATCTATTTCAGCCAACATGAAGTATGTTAGTCTTATTCAACCGCGGTGTACAGATTGTGTTCATGTTGGAATTAGAAATTTAAAAATTTAACTTTGACAGCAGTCCAAAAATTGATACAGAACCTACCCATATCGATGCCTCAGTCAGTCAGACAAAATACCTGAGTTAGTGGTGTGTGTGTGGAAAATATCTATCTTAAAAGGAAGAGGCTCCATAAATTCAACATGGATGTTGTATAATTATATGCTCTTTTATAATAAATACATTGAGCTCTTTTTGCGGATCACTTTTGATAATTGGTATTATTGGGATCCACTTGGATTATATACAAATGGATTTATTACTTTTACTATATATATATATATATATGTTAAAAAGAAGAGAGAAACCCCAAATGTTTTTTGGTTGTAATGTGGATATTTTTTTAAAAAATATTATGCTTTATTTTCCATAATTTTGCTACATGTGTTTCTGGTCTCATGACATGTCGTGAGACCAGAAACACATGTAGCAAAATTATGGAAAATAAAGCATTATATTTTAAAAAATAAAATCCACATTACAACAGAAAACATTTGCAGTTTCTCTTTCTTTTTAATACACACACTTTTCTCTCATTGGAACAACTACAACCTCTTCCTTATATATATATATATATATATATATATATATATATATATATATATATATATATATATGTGTGTGTGTGTGTGTGTGTGTGTGTATTTATTTTACTTTTGGGAATTTCAGATAGATGAAACTGGAGATTTACAAAACAGCGTATGGCCAGACATTTTGTAGATATCCCTCACAAATAGCAACCAATCAAAACTGAAGAAAAAAAAAAACCAAAGAAATCTGCTTACATCCCCCCCACCTGTATATTTAACAAAAAAAAAATGAAATTACCAAAAAAAAAAAAAAAAAAATGGTGCCTCAAACTCAGAGCATTTCCAAAGGTCGCTACCATCAATTTACTTGGCACTGAAGGTCTTCTGGACACGGTGCTTCCAATTGAAGCAGTCATTGGATTAGACACTTTTGTTTGAGTCAAGCTCGTATTTAATGTAGAGGTTGGATAAAACATCCAGATTCGTTGCCATCACATCCAAGTAGACTTCAAGATCTTTGATAATCTGAAAAATGGAAAATTTTTCAAATCATTAAAGAGATTTTTTTCTGTTTTACTTTATTACTGCAAAAATAATAATTAGAAAAGAAACATGAAAATTTCATGGTTTTCCTATTTGAATTTTCTGAATCTTAATTCTTAAGTTAATGACCGAATAAGCTCATGACAATTTCTATGACAATAAAATATCCGTAGAAATTCCCCTATCGCATTGTTAAATATTTGAGCTTAACAACTCTAACAAAATATTGCAATAACAATCAGAAATATGAATGCTGGTCATTAAATTAAGAAGTAGGTAGAAATGAAAACATCTGAAATTGACAAATTTTTCAATTCCACTGAAGCAGACGTTAAGCACTTCTTTCTTTCATTCATTCATTCATCAAAACCAAGTAGAGTCTTTTCCTCTCTTTACATGCAATCAAAATGGAACAGTCCATCATTTATGAGATATTGGCAGGAGATATTAGACACTTCTATCTCCCCTTCTTTCTTTCATTCATTTTCTCATCAAAACCAAGTAGAGTCTTTTCCTCTCTTTACATGCAATCAAAATGGAACAGTCCATCATTTATGAGATATTGGCAGGAGATATTAGACACTTCTATCTCCCCTTCTTTCTTTCATTCATTTTCTCATCAAAACCAAGTAGTGTCTTTTTGCACATGATCAAAATGGAATAATCCGTCATTTTTGCTTCAACGTAGGGTCCTCTGACGTTAATGTATTTGTTATAGTGCTCCAGCCACTTTTTGAGGGACCCCATGGAAGTCAAGCAAAGTGAAGATGTCCAAGGCCTATGTTGCAGCCTCCTTCAACATTTTTTTTTTTTTTTTACAGTAAGGTTCACCCTTTACAAGTCCCCCTTCACTCAAGGTAGAGAGCTATGTTAGGAGGCCATTTGTGTGTATAGATGTGGAAGATAACGGTTAAACCTAGGCTTGAACAGGTTAACATTGTAGTGATCATGGAAACAACCTCTTGGGAGCTGGTTCCACAGGGCAGTGGTTTGCGGGAGAAAGCTGTTTGATTGGAAATTATTTCTCACTGATGGGCAGTTTGCTACTATGTAAATGGCAGGGCGTGTTCTTGCTGTGAAGGTTTGACTTAGTGGGACCAGGGAATGTAATTTGTCTGAGCACTTTCTGTGGAAGTAGTGGTTGAGTAGATAGATGCTTACCACACCCTGCCTGCGGGAGAGAGGTTGGAGGGTGGAGATGATTTCGGACACTCAATGTCTTTAAAAACAACTGATCCTGAGGGATCCAAGGGATCTTCAGGTTGGGGAACAAACAAAAGTCAAAGGTATCAAATATCTTGATTGTAGGGAGGGTGAAGGACAGTTTTGATGTACATTTCTGTTGACACTTAACTTTATCACATAGTAAGCTTCCAAATTGTTTTCACACCCTGACTCCATTCTGCATAATAGTTGCGACAAGCAGTGTTTAGTAGGGAGTGTTCAAAGAGCTGTTACAGCCGTCACATTCAATCTGGAATAACAAAAGTTGGCAGGCCAGCTTATTAGAGACAGAGTAATGATATACTAAAATGACAATAATCTAGGACAGTTATAACTGCCTTGCCTAAAAAAGTCTCAAAACTTCTGGAATGCCTCTCATACCCCCCCCACACACACTTGTGTCTTTTTACTTTTTAAGAACGATTATATATATATATATATATATATATATATATATATATATGTGAATATGGAATACGCAGAGATCAATAGGTTCTTATATTTCCATACAAGATTGAAGTCTTTCTGCATATTCCTATATCAATGGAAGGGATTTCTTGATGAACTGTTTATATGAGAAAATAGTTAAATCGAATTTGTTTAATATTTTAATATTTTGAAATCATCTTCGAATACGTTTTCACAACATCGCCCACGTGACAACGACGTGATCATATTTTAAACGGAACGCTGATCTTATATAAAAATTTCAGTTATCTGTTTGGATTAGTTGTGCTCTTTTGTCTATTGTCTTTTTCATGTTGAATTTTATATGTTCTAATGTTAATTATGTTTTATAAATAAGTCCTGATGATGGTCTAAAATAGACCGAAACGTCCCATGTTGACTTTATATTAACATTAATACAGCATAATTACATATTAAGATTTTTGTTTGTTTTTTTCTATATATTTTTCTTCATACTGTCGGATCTATATCCATATATTTGCTTACATATATATATATATATATATATATAAAATTAGGAGATCAGTCAATCACACTAACTTTGTTTCAAACTTTCAGTATCCTCAGGCAATAATGGCCAAATGATTTCCAAACACTTATTATTATATATAAGCACACAACATGAAGTGTAATAGAAGGGGAGGAGTAAAGCAAGAATATTGAAATTGTATTGGAGGGAGGAGTAAATAAAATGTACATACTTTCATCCTGGTTCTCAAACTCAAAAAATACTTTTTACTCTGTATACATTGTAACATTATTTCCAATCTTTATCCAGTAGATTTTTTGGGGTCTGGAAATTCTATTATTGTTAACTTTTCCTCATGGCACAGTTTGCAGATATCACTACGATTACTATAAGGTCTAGATTTTCTTAATATTTTCCAGTTTACAATTGGATCTTTGTTATTTTTTACTTTTAATTTACAAACACTAGTCTGATAGAATTTCTAAGTAAAGAACAAAAAATGTGTTTTTTTTTTTTTTCAAATGTGCATATAATACCATTTTGTTTCATTCTATTTTCAGGTATAATTTGGATCAGTAAGCATTGCCCTTTCATTGTGAAAACATTTATCACAAACAATGAATCAGTAACTGCAACACAAACCGTGTTGGCCCGTCTGATCATCTAATTTGAATCCGTCTGATTTTGTTCTGTGGGGATACCTGAAATCAAAAGGTATACACTCATCGCCCTCAATCAATTGAACAATTAAAAGAGACCATTTGTCAAGAAATGGTTGCCATTCCACATGGACTGAGCTGTTGAATTATGGACAACTTTCGTGAACACCTTTGACAATGTGTGGAAAGTAATGGCATTCACTTGACTGATTTAATTTTTAAAATGAAATGAAGCAAAATGGCATTATATGTAGATTTTGAATATAAAAACATATTTTTCACTCTTTACTCTGTTTTTCTTTTATTAAACATACAAATATGTCAGATCATTTTGCCGCACCTTGTATATATAGGATAAATAAGAGTAAAAGTTTGTCACTTAGCTGATTGATATTACCTTCAGCATCCCAACTTTTGTAGATAAACCTGTCTATCCATTCTTCAGGGGGAAGTTTTAAGGTATGCTATATTTATTAGTTAAAGTGTTCAATATCAGAGATAGAGTTTATATAAATATAAAAGTGGACATTAAGGTCAACACCCAGCGGTGACAGTGCCTGTTTCATTCTTTCAACTTCTCCCATGCTTTGATCGTGTTTATGCTACTAATTTAAAAACTTTTCTTAGGCCCTCCCACCCGACAAAAACAAATGGCTTTAAATTTATAGTCGTTTGCAATAAGTTTTCAATTTCTCCCATGCTAGCTAAATGCTTTGACTATGATTAATGTGAACAATGGGTTTGTAGCAGTCGTCAAAATATAATAAATAAAATAAAGCAAAAATATTTCTTAAATTCCCTGAAAAATATCACCTACTTAACACTGCACTAATATTAACACCGGCATCAATTGATTGTGGTTTATGGCCATATCAGGTCGAAACATTAGTTCCCGTATGATCACCAAATTTAAGCAACATCGAGCCTGGTCAGTACCTAGATGGGTAACCAAGTGGGGATACCAGGTGCTGTATGCTTGGATGTGTGGGTAGTATAATGGATAATGTCTCAGAATTATTAATCTGAGAGCTGAGTTCAAATTCCTGTTGGGTTTGTTATAGCCACTTATGCACAAATACCCTTGGGAAAGGCATGAATCCACTTCTCCCTCCATCTATGGGTTAATTTTTTTTTTTTTTTTTAAGCAGGGCAAGCATGTCACTAGTACACAAGAGGCTACAGAGTATGTAAGTAAGGGAAAAGACTGTGTACAGGTTGAGGGCGGGGTGTTGAAAAAAGGATAAAAAGAAGAATGGGGATCAAGGCAGCAGATGTTGACTGACAAAATTTAAACTTTTGAAGATTATAATTATCAGGGAAGCAAGTAAGAGGAAGGGAGTTCCACTGTTGGGAAGTGCAAGAAAAGAAGCTGTTGGAGTAGAAGATTATATTTAACTGTTTCAACAATAGAAGGGTGGGGCCTAGATGCCAACTTAGAAGCACACTTAAATTCATGCAGTCAGGGCAACAGTGAAAATAGCTCGTCTGAGCAGATGCCATGAAAATATTTATAGAAAAGACAGAGAAAAGCCACATTACGTCAACGAGAAAGTCCCTGGAGTCAAGACCTCAAGTCAGGAACGATCTAAGATTTATTATTTGGACTATTGTCCTCATCTTTGTCGCCATATTTATTACAACGTTTCGACCGTTATACGCTCCGGCCTTCTTCAGGTGGTTGGAATGTCGAACTGAACCCTTTATTTCGATCACTGGGGTAGACTGTTCTAGTTCCACATGCCATGTTTAATGCATGTCAGTTATAAGTTATCTCCTGTTAATTTCCCTCTGAAAGTTCTCCACTGCCTTAACTGGGTATTGAACTCACACTCATTAGGTCCTGTCACTGGATCTAACCATCACCTTTATCCACTGTGCCATGTGTCCTTGATAGACATGTATAGACAGATGTAAGATTTGTATCACTAAACCATTATTATCTCCCCAAAAAATTCTTTAATCTAAAAATGTTTTCTAGCTTTATAAAACCTATAAAGGGTTGAGAACTGTAAAAACCTAATTGTCAATATGGATGAACATTCTTGAAATAAGGTAGAGTATCAAAAGGACAGTTTTTCTCATGACAAAGTACAGGAGAAATGATTATTATTTTTATTGTCAATTCTCAAGAACAAAGAAAACGTTTTATTAAAGTGCTAATTATCACTTTTTAAAACAATAAACATTGCTGAGAAGTGAAGGAAGTTAAAAAAAAGTAGTGTCATTGGAAAAACCATCCTTTTGACACTCTGGCTAAAATTGTCTGCGGTTGGGAATTTTAAAATTCAGAATAAGGTGATTTTGTAAAATCACCTCGGTTTATGGTCATATCACATTGAAACACTGGTTATTGTATGATCACCAAAGTTAAGCAACATTAAGCCTGTTCAGTAACTAGATGGGTGACCACTTGGGAACACCAGGTGCTGTAAGCTTCGATGTGCAAGTGGTGTAATGGGCTTATGGCCATATCACATTGAAATGCCGATTCTTGTATGATCACCAAAGTTAAGCAACATTAAGCCTGTTCAGTACCTAGATGGGTGACCACTTGGGAATACTAGGTGCTGTAAGCTTCGGTGCAAGTGGTGTAATGGGCTTATGGCCATATCACATTGAAATACTGGTTCTTGTATGATTACCAAAGTTAAGCAACATTGAACCTGTTCAGTACCTAGATGGGTGACCATTCTGGAATACCAGATGCTGTAAGCTTGGATGTATGGGTTGTGTAATGTATAATAAAACCTAAAACTATCATGAAAGTGAATTTTTTTTGTTCTTGAGAATTTACAAAAAACTTTATGTATTAGATTGTTTATTTACAAGAATAATTTTATATTTACAATATTCTAAAAACTAATAAAATTAAAACTAATGCAATGCAATATTTATCCTTTACTATTTTGTAAAGAAATTTATTTATGAAAACAATTTTTATTCATAAATTTATAAACATTTCCTAAATTATTAAAATATAGGAATCAACTGTAAGGAAATCCTTATTACCATTTATGAAATTCAAATCAATTGGTAATTAGCTGATGTTTTGCCAACCATTACAATAAACAATCTAATAGTGTATATAAACAAACTAATAGTGTATATAAACAATCTAATAGTGTACATAAGCAATCTAATAGTGTATATAAACAATCTAATAGTGTAAATAAAAAATCTAATAGTGTATATAAACAATCTAATAAATAGTTTTTTTATTATTTTTATTGCAAATTCTCAAGAAATATATAAATTCACTTTCATCATATGATTAGGTTTTATTCCAATTCTAATCATCACTTTTTAAAAGAATAGACATTGCCAAGGGAGGGAAGGTGGTTAATAATGTGGTGTCATTGGAAAGATTGTCCTTTTTTGATACACTGTTTTATTGCATGCATGTAAGTCCCTGTTAGCCTAAAAATGTATCTCCAAAGAAATCATAAACTTATATTCCTCTTTTATCATTCTTGGATAGTACCAGAACCAATTCGGTCATCGTGATTAGACACAGTTCTCATCTTTGAGTCTTTCTGCCGCTGTCTTTTTCTTCTTTCTCTCTTCCAGTCTGTCTTGTAAACTACGTTTTAATGGTAATTCTTTTCAACTAATATGAAATGAAATAGTTGCACAAAGATTTTGGCTAAAATTGTCTGCGGTAGAATTTTGTAAATATAAAATGATTCTAGCAAATAGACAATTTAATAATAAAATAGAGTTTAATATTTTCATTGTTATTTCTCAGGAACAAAGAAAATATATAAATTCATTTACATCATATGTTTAGGTTTTATTACAATTCTAGTAACTGCGTATTAAAACAATAAACATTGCCAAAGAGTGAAGGTAGTTAAAATACTAGCGTGTCATGGGAAAAAATGTCCTTTTGACATGACGTCTTATTGTGGGCACATTAAGTCTATGTTCGCTAATCAATCAATCAGCTGTATTTAGGTCATTGATTTGTAAAAGATTTTTCAGCCTCCCTCCACCTCAGAAAACAGTTTTAAATTTTTTGTACATTGTAATAACTTTTTCATTTTCTCCCATATTTTGATTGTGTTTATGTTATTAATATTTTAAAATGTTGTTTAGGCCTCTTCTCCCAACCTTTCATCAAAAAAATGGTTTGTACTTTTAATAGATAATAATAAGTTTTGAATCTGTCTATATTTCTGAGATAAAGTATTATGGACACTATTTACATCATTTGGACTACTGTCCTCATCTTTGTCGCCATATTTATTACAACGTTTCGTCCGTTGTATGCTCTGGCCTTCTTCAGGTGGTTGGAATGTCGAACTGAACCCTTTATTTCACTCACTGGGGTAGAATGTTCTTGTTCCACGTGCCATGTTTAATGGATGTCCGTTATAAGTTATCTCCTGTTAATTCCCCTCTCCAAATTCTCCACTGCCTTAACCAGGTATTGAACTCACACTCTTTGGATCCTGTCACTGGATCTAACCAACATCTTTATCCACTGTGCCATTTGTCCTTGAGGACATTTGTGTATGAATTTCTGGGTATTATAAAAGAAGGCCGGAGCGTACAACGGCCAAAACGTTGTAATAAATACGGCGACAAAGATAAAGACAATAGTCCAAATAATGTAAATAGTGTAAATAACTTTCAAATTCTCCCAAAGAGGAAATAATGACGTAATCAAGATTCTGACGTTCCACACTACTTCAAATAAAAAGTTAGGAAGGAAACCCCCATCAATACTGGAAAGAGCCATAACAGTTACTGGACTTGAGAAACTTGTTTCCCTGAAAAACTGTTTTAAGACAAAGATTTTATAAATTTTAACTGACAATAGCACTGACTGCTCAGTCAATGAATGCTGAATATTTCCTTATAAGGAAACAGCAAATATTACTATTAGCAAAATGTTTTGATGTAACTAAGGCAGTCTTTATCTGGTCAATGTTGGATTTTGCTTTGTCATCCAGTTGTTAGTAAACTGCAATTGCTCTGTCTGTAAGTCTCAAAGGGATCATGTGTTCCAAAGACTTCACTCCACATAGCCTGCAAACGAGTTCCAGCTTCTCTATCCATTCAACCACTGGAAGACTGGATGCTGATCCGCCAAACTCGAGAATTAACTTTAAATTGAATTTGGGGTCTGCCATCGTCTGTCAATCTCTGAAATAGCTTGTGTTTGTCTCGTTTGGTTTTCACATGTCAGCACATTGAGTGGCACTTGTAGTACAGTGAATCCATGGACGTATACCTGGCCGAGTTGAAGAAAATCATGTTCTTGTTGGCAGAGGCACTCTCAGTGTGCAAAAACCAAACAAGACGAACACATTTGACTAAGATCATAGTTAATTCATTCTGTTTTTTTTTTCTTTTGGATTTTTTTCCTTGCCAGTCAAGGACCAAGAAAATTCTAAACTTCTTCATGATTAAAAAATATTGTTTTGAACTTTCTACTGATTCAGTTGAAATTAATGAATGTTCCTATTATAATTGTGTTTGTACTTCTATTCGTTAGTTTGCACGACCATTACACCTTGCCAATACCTCATAAATAATAGACGATTACATTTTGATCATGTGGAAAGAGGGGGAAAAAACACATGGTTTCAGTGAGAAAATGAAAGAAGGGAAGATAAAAGTGGGGAGAGAAAGAGAGAGAGAGAATCAAATTAAATTAATAAGAACAGATAATACACTTTGATCTTAGTCAAAAGGTGACTGCATTATCTTGTTGCCCCATGCTGGCAGGGTGTAATACAAGGTCGGTTTAATGGTGGGGGTACTGATCATGTACACCTGGACCAGGTCCCAAAAGAGCCCAGACCCTGCAAATGTCTTGCACTGGCATCGGTATTACTACTAATTCCCATCACCTCTTTAATGAGGGGGGTACTACCTTGGGCAGCTGTTCCCTCAATAATATTTTTGGTTGTGCTCTTTCTGGATATAGAGACACAACTGTGAGATGAAATGTCCTGGCCAAAAGGCCGAGAAGCAATTTAAAAGCACCGTTTTTCAGACACACAATATTGAACAACAGAAACTGTATATGGGAATCGCCAAAAATCCAGTTACCATAAATCAAATATTATCTGTTAAATTATTTAAGAATTATATTTAAGAGAAATGTTCATAAGACAAGGATTTGACTAGTTGTACAGGGGGTGTCCTTTCCCCCAAGAATTGGCATCATTTAAAATGTATATAGCTGAGTAACTACATGTCACAGGCAAACTAAATTAAATAGGCTTCATCAAAAAATCTTCAAAGGGATATAGATTTTATAACCGATTTCCCAAAGATTCATAAATGTTTAATACGTGCACCACCTGTGGCACAACACACGTCAAGTCGGTAGTCCAGCTCCTGCCAAACACACTGTAGCATGTCTAGCATAGCACTCCCTGATGCCTCGGTGATTCTCTGTTTAAGTTCTTCCAGGCTTTTAGGAAGAGGAGTAATGTAGACCTGAACTTTTCGTACACAAACAGACACACACACACACATATATATATATATATTCTTAAACATGTGACACTGTCTGAAAAAGAATCTTTCTTAGTAAGGGTCTAAGGATGTCTCATTATGTAATGAGAGAGAGAGGGGGGACATAAAGAAAGATTAACACATGCGAACGAGAGAAAGAAAGATACTAACCTCATAGTGATTGTTATAGGGTCTGATCAGTTCATCGTAAATGTTTAATAGACAGAGAAAAACAAGAAGAGATGAAAAATGAAAACAAAAAAAAAACGAATGAGATTTTCCTTCTAATAAATCAAGGAATGAAATTTCAAATGAAAGAAAGAAAAAAAAAACTGACATCATTTAAAATGTGAATATCAGATTAACTACGTCTTCCAGGCAAACAAAATTAAATAGGCTTCATGTTGTACAATAAAAGATTTATTTATCAAAATTCGAACAAGATCTTCAAAGGGATGAAGATTTTATAACCGATTTCACAAAGCTTCACAAATGTTCAAGATGTGCACCACCTGTGGCATGACAAATGTCAAGTTGGTAGGTGGGGATATAGACCTGTCCTTTCGCATTGTCTCTAAAAAAAAAATCACAAGGTATCTAGTCAAGTGAACATGATGGGCATTTCAACATCACTGTCATTATCACTGGCATGCCCGCTCCCTCTTCCTGGCACGTCCAATCCCACTTCCTGGCACGCCCTATCCCTCTTCCTGGCATGTCCGATCCCTCTTCCTGGCACGCCCTATCCCTCTTCCTGGCACGTCTGATCCCACTTCCTGGCACGCCATATCCCTCTTCCTGGCACGCCATATCCCTCTTCCTGGCATGCCCGATCCCTCTTCCTGGCACGCCCGATCCCTCTTCCTGGCACGCCCGATCCTCTTCATGGCATGTCCGATCCCTCTTCCTGGCACGCCCTATCCCTCTTCCTGGCACGCCCTATCCCTATTCCTGGCATGTCTGATCCCACTTCCTGGCACGCCCTATCCCACTTTCTGGCACGCCCGATCCCACATCCTGGCACGCCCGATCCCTCTTCATGGCATGTCCGATCCCTCTTCATGGCATGTCCGATTCCTCTTCCTGGCATGCCCTATCCCTATTCCTGGCATGCCATATCCCTCTTCCTGGCACGCCCGATCCCTCTTCCCGGTAGATTTACAATCAGATAAGTCTATACAGTCAACACATTTTGTTAAAGTTTGAGTTCATTTGAACGAGAATAGTTTGCAAAATGATGTCAATATTTTTGGGACATCCTGTGGTTATTATTATTTAAAACATTTTTAGGAGTATCATCTTTTTGTCAGTGGGTTAAGGCTGATATTTGTCCCTTTCCAAAGAATTATTTTCTTACCTGTTCATCATCAACATCATTTCCCCGAGACAGAATCTTCATCAGACTTGACCAAGTTGGAGCTGTGATAGCCACAACCTAGAAAAAAAAAGAACAAGAAATATTTTAATTTTATTGAATACAGAACACTCTAGAAAAGAAGAGGATAGCAGGCGAGGCAGAATGATTGAAAGAAAATAAAAGATTTAGAAACAGTTTAAAAAAATAAATAATATTCCAAAATTGGAAATATTGTTATGGATTGCCTGTAATTGCATGTTTGAGTCCCAGTATAAGTAGTTATAAATGATTATTAACTGATTTTATCATTGGGATATTTTTTAATTATATCAAGTATTAAGAATATAGTAACTAGGATCCACAAATTGGAGGAGAGAGTTATCAATGATAATGTTCTGATTTCAAATCTGCAGTTATCCCCCTTTAATCCTCTATAATTTCTTTATTTTTAAACATAATTTCTCTCATATAAAATTTAGTGAGGTGTAAATAAATTTTAATTCGAAAAATGTAGCCCACAGAAAAAAAAATTTGGGAGCCACTGCTCTAGATAAACTGATGATTTTATTAGAAGAAAAAAAATATCAAAATATATGACAAACAAAGGCATACTAGGTTGTTCGGAAAATAATGTCCAATTTCAGAATCAACATTTATTCCTAAATTTAGCATTTAAATCAGTCAAAATAGGAAACATGAACATCTATAGATTTTTGCCATCAAGTTATAAGGTTATTTATGCTATTATGATAAAACTAAATATTTGGATACAAAGAAATCTTTGAATGCAGTTTATTCATCTTCTTTGCGATGAAATGTCTTTTGGTTTAAAAAATTGTCAAGATATTTATAAAACTGGTAGTCAGTGGGCAAGAGATCAGGTGAATATGGTAGATGTGGCAAAGTATTGTATCCAAAGTTGGTAAGCTTCTGCAGTGTCATCATGGTGGATCATTGCCATGAAACAGAATTGGACATTGTCATTTAAACAGTGCCAGTTGCATTGTGCTTAAGTGAATGTGCATTTCACTCACTTGCTGGCAATAAACTTTGACAAGGATGCTCTGATTAGATTCCAGAAAGCTGTTATAGATAATGGTGGGATGCCAGACAGTCACATAATCTTCTATTGGTGCAATTTTGGTTTTGGAAAGTACCTGGGTGATTTGTCATGATCAAGTCATTGAGCCAATCATTTACAATTGTCATAAAGGATGTCACTATTTGATCAAGAAATGGAACATTTGAATTTCACAGATGCAGCATTGAACACACTTCAAAGCGTTAAACTCTTTGACTTTCACAGAGCTCATGTCAAACCCATTTATCGAGTTTCTTCATCATGCCAATTTTCTTGAGATGGTCCAATATTGTTGAAATGCTGGCACACATTATCTGAGATATTTTTTGGGGTTTTATTCGAATAGTGTTTTGAGATATTGATTGTCAATTACAGGTGGACAGCCTTTATTACCTTGATCTTCAAGACTCGTATCCCCACTGTGGAACTTCAGAAACCAGTGCCATCCTGTGTGATCACAAGTGGATCCTTCACACCACAATCTGTTAATGTTAGCAGTAGTTTAAGAAGTATGATGACCAAGCATGAACTCGTGCAAAAAAAGTAAATGCATCTATTCATTTTTTCATGCTCAAGATGCGGGGTATATAATGTTTTAAGTGAAATTCTGAGATTGATATAAAATTAACAAAGAGGACACTTTAATCATCAGGAATAAGTAATATATTTTTGTGCAACTACTATATTTGAACACAATTAAAAAGTTTATTCTAAGATTAGACATTATTTTCTAAACAACCTCATACTATTTTCCAGTGTATACACCAGGTGCATCACATATTTGAAAACAAAATTCTGATTGTGAATGATATAAAATTAACAAAGAGGACAATTTAATCATCAGAATAAGTAATATATTTTTGTGCAACACAATTAAAAAATTACTTAGAACATAATGAAAAGGTTTCATTCTAAAATTGGACATTATTTTTCAATTACTTGCATTATTTATATTTTTTAGAGTGTTATCCTCATTTTCATTGCCATATTCAAGACATTTTGGCTGTTGTACACTCCAGCCTTCTTCGGTTGATTGGAATTTCGAACCGAACCCTTTATTTTGTCCACTGGGGTAGATTGTTCTAGTTCCCCGTGCCATGCCTCTTCTGGAGGTCACAGTTATTTCCCTTTAACTCAACTCTCCAAGTTTTTGGTTCACCACTGCTGTGGCCTGGTATTGAACTCACAACTCTTTGGGTCTAGTCACTGGATCTAACCGTCTTTATTCACTGGGCCAAAACATTGTGAATATGGCAATGAAGATGAGGATAACAGTCTGAATAATGTAAATAATGCAAGTAATCATAATACCTCATCTCAGAGATATAGACATATATTACTTTTTGAATAACCTAATACTATTTTCCAGGGTATACACAGGGTGTATCACATATTTGAGAACAAAATTCTGATTGAGATTGATATAAAATTAACAAAGAGGACATTTTAATCATTACGAATGTGTAATGTATTTTTGTGCACATTCCAGCTCCATGCTTTCCAACTAACTTTAATGTGTAAAAAATTTAAATGCAATGTCAATTGCTATCTACTGTCTTCCTGATTACTCTTTTGTTCTCCCTCCTTAGCAATGTTTCTAATTCTTCCACACCCAATAGCCCCTTGTGTCTCAGTGGCTTTATTGCCTTGCTTGGAGTGAAATTGATTACAAAAAAAAAAAAAAAAAAAAAAACTATTATAGTAATATATAAGAATACAAAAGGTCCATTATAAAATCGAAGATTATTTTCCAAACAACCTAATATTAAAATATACAAACTGAATATTTGGGATTTGTCAATAAATTTGATCAAGGAACACTTGTGAACTTCCCCTGTCTGTGTCTGTTGGTTGATTTGAGATGGAATGACTTATATAATTTATTTTTGTTATATATTTCTGGTATCCGGCTACTAATTTCAAGCTGCATTAGGTAGACAACATTTTGACTTTAACTAAGTTAAAATTTTACTGCAACACCCTGTTAAATGCATGTTCTTTCAGTCACAGTTATATGGTCACACCCATTGTCCTTAGTGCTACAGTCCTATAGTAACCCTACAGGAAATGAGGGGAGCAGCCTCTGAACCTCCAACATCTCCTAATAGGGTCTTTTAGTCCTCTCAAACAAGATAGGCATGATGTTTCAAACAAAAACAACATTCCTAAAAAAAAAAAAAAAAAAAAAAATAAACACAGAAAATTTCAGTATCACAAACTGAGAAGTTCTGCTACTCTGATTCCTGAGCAACAACCTCATTTAGTAACCCTCTACCTTGAATGGCTCTTGGGCCTTGTATTGGGTGAAAAATAGCAAATCATATATTTCGGCACAAATTGAAAAAATGTAAGTAAAACAAAAAATGGAATTAAAGACTATAAAAAAGAAAATGAATAAAAAGATAAATAAAAATAGTTACCGTAAACATTTTCTGGGTGATGAAGTTGTGATATTTGTGGAGGGTTTCATCATAGGCTTTTTTTATATGTGGCTGAAGGCTTTCTCGTGGACTACCATTCTTGTATTCTTCTACCATATTGGAAAGGAAAACATAGACAAACTGCAATGCCCTGCAATTAAATGGCAGGAGGGAAAAAAAAAATGGAGTAATTGGCCATGGTCAAGTACAATTGGCAAAAATGGCCAACACAAAGAATCAACAAAGTTTTCAATAAATAATAAGGAAGAAAAAGAATAGGGCGAAATAATACTAAGCAAACAATATACAGCAATCTCCATTGAGGGAAAAAAGAGATAAGGGAGGGCAGTGAACAAACTACCTAATGATTTTATGGGGAGGGAGCAGGATCTTTTTCAAAAGGAGAAAAACTGCCTAGAGCCACAAGGCATAGAGAGCTGTGGAGAGCCATGATTGCGTATTTGCAGAGTCAGCATTAGCTCTTAGCCACATGCTAAGCTCTTAGTGCTTGTTGAACTGTCTCCAGGCAGAGAGGAACCCAGATGAGGTTATGCCAAACTGCAGAGTCTCATCTGGGGAGGTAGGCACACCCGACCCTGTTATTATAGGGTCTACGGGGAATTTTTGCTCAGGCCTATGGGGTTGGAAAAACCCACATTAAACCAGCCTTGTGCCACATCCCACTCTGTGGGGAGTTCAGGTAAATACCAAGCCATGATCGCATATGTTTTGAAGGGATGCAGCACACAGAAAAAGAAGATGGTGTCTTCAAAACCTTTTTTTTAGTTTATTTTTTGGCAAGGTGAGCAATACAGGAATCTCTTGATTAATACACATTTGATTAATGTACTAAAATTCTAATACACCAAAATTCAATTAGTACATACATAATACTCGTTTAGTGTAATAAAACATTCTTCACGTTAACCGTAGTATTTTAAAATTGATTTTTTTTATAGTTACTGATGTACACATTAGCCTCACTAATTGAGGGATTCTTGTATATGCAAATCAAAACTAGGCAAAACAATAAAAAGTTCACAAAGTAGGAACTGTGTTTGTGAGCAAAAGGAATACAGTCAGGTGATTATAGAGTTCTGACTTCAAGACAAGAAAGAAAAAACTATGGAGAAGGAGTCTGAGAATTTGTCCATTTTTAATGGTTAAGAATAAATCCCAGCATGCATCGCTAAGATTTGTTTATCAATTTAGGGAGGGGATATTTTGGGTAATAATTCTTATATTTTATTTTAATAATATATATTTAATAATATTTAATAAAATATATTATTTTAATAAGAATTGTGTTCACAAGCAAAAAGGGATACAGTCAAGTGATTATAGATATAGTGTTTTAGGATTTGTTTATCAATTCAGAGAGGGGATATTTTTAGCAATCATTCCTACACAAATTGGAACAAAAAAACAAGGAAAGAAAAAATACAGAAAAGTTCAATATTAAAAACTGTAGACCCCCCCCCACAATGGATTACCACAAACACCACCTATAAAGGAACCTCTACCTCTGAGAAAATGGTTTACTACAACCCGTAATCTCTGCCAACAATGGATTCTCCACTTTTAGGTAAATTGATTACCACAACTTGTAGTTTCCTCTCAATAATGGATTACCAAAACGTGTAATCTCTACCAACAATAAATTGTCTATCTCTGGAACAATAGATTATCACAACCTGTAATCTTCACCAACATTGGATTGTTCACCTCCGCAAAAATGGATTTTTACCAGACATTCTTCTTGTCTGTCTCTTCTCTTCCATCAATAAATTATTTTACTAAATCCATTGAACATTTAAAAACAATATGTCAAATGTTCTCAATTTAAAGAAAGGAAGAGATTTCTGTGGACAAGATTAAGGAGAAGATGACAAAGCAGCTGATGACAATCCCCAAAAATGTTGCAGCAACACTGGGATAAATGTGTCAGATCCCAAGAAGGAATGCTTTGAAGTGTAGAAAGTTGCTATTGTTTTGGTATTTTTATTAAAATTATAGGGCTGAATATTTTCAATATAGATGTTGTACTTAAATATATTTTGCAGGCCCCTTTCCCTTCTCTTTTAGCATTATAATTTCCTATTCTATAATAGTACTATTTTAGTCAAAATCACAAGTCTTGATTTACATATGTACATTTCAAGTTACAAATAATAAAACTTACCAGTGCTGGCTTATAAAACACCAGCAACAGGTGAGTTCATTTCACTATAAAACAATTAGTCAAACTAAAATTATTAGACGGTGGCAATCAAATGCATATCTCCAAATTGCGATCACTTACCTTTTGATTTAGGTGTATTGTTGGGGGTACGTTAGAGTAATGGATATTGGCTCAGATTGAGGAATCGGAGAGCTAAGTTCAAATTCCGGTCGAGTTTGTCACATTCACTTATGTGCAAATAACATGGGAAAGGTATGAATCCATCTTTTCTCTCTCCAGTTACAAGTAAATACCTGGACAAACTGGGTCCTATAGCCTTGGTTGGCAACCAGTCTAGAAGAAGGACAACTCTGAATTCAAAGGGTTTTATTCTACATTCAACATCATCACTTGATAAGACACCAGTATTGTTGAAACAAAATGGCTATTTTTGTAGTGATTTTATAACATATTTATGTTATAATTTTTAAAATAAATAATTATATTTGCTCTACTCTGTACTGAGCACTCTTTTAAGAATAGTATTTGTTGGTTATTGGAATTTATTCTGTATACACCAATCCTATACTTGGATGGATATATATATATATATATATATATATATATATAGATAGATAGATAGATATATGTAGGGAGAGAGAGAAAAATATATCTTTAACATCTTTATTCCTTTTTGTTCTTAGACAGACCAGTCATGATGAATGTAAGCCTTTAGGTAAAGCCCAGTGCTTTGGGAGACTTAAACTTACCTCAAGTACATACAATCCATTGCTAAAAATGCAGGAAAAAATGGTTGATTTCCTGTACTGCTCCAGTAAGTACCTGACTTCTCATGCTATCCTCGACCTTTATAAGAGCCAAACCAGGCTTAAAATAGTGTACTGTTGTCATATTTGGATGGAGGTGCCCAGTCTTCATTTACCAGTTTTGATAGAGTCCAAAAGCATTTCCACATCCTTGTGGGTGACAAATTATTTTTCACCCTGCAAACCTTCCCTCACAGATGAGATGTGGCAAGCCTCTTACTCCTCTATCGCTACTTCCATGGAAAGTGCTCAGATGAACTGCATTCCTTGGTCCTGCTAGTTCTGGCCAGCCATGCCACCCACATTGTAACAAACCACCCATATTCCCCTCCTATTCCATAAATAAGTCCCACTTGAATAGCTTCTTCCCATGAACCACTGCTCTGTGGAACAGACTCTCAAGAAGATGTTTCCCCAATCACTACAATTTTAACCGATTCAAGTCTAAAGTTAACCATTATTTTTCCTTCCTATCCTCATAAACTGCCTTTTACTGTAACTCTCAAACTTGAGTGGCCCCTGGGCATTAGACAGGGTGTATCTCATTGTTAAAAAAAGGCTCCATTTGAACATTTTGGACCAGAGTATGAAGGACACCTTTACTCCCTACCATAAACATTGTCACATTAAGTAGAATTTGAAAAACATGAATATTCTTTGCTGGTATGGTACGTGTATTAAATACCTATGCATCTGCTACACGATGTCGGTTGTATTAAACATTAATCTTTTCACTAGATACATATGCATTGATAACCCTGTCAGAAGCATGTGCAGTAACCCCCATTCATCTTTGGGAATTGCATAAAAAGAAGTCACTGAAAGAATATGTATTGTGAATCCCTGGAGGTTAGCTTTTTCTCTTTCATCTTGAGCTGAGGCCAAGATAGGAGGCTAAAATTAGCGCTCCACACAATAGATGCATATGGCTTAGTCAAAACACTTCACTCACTATTTAACTCACCAACAGAGTAAATTCAACTTTTTAGTCATCCATTACAGAGACTCTTAAGAATAATTCTTGAATTTGCACTTTCTTTCAGGAACATTCCTTCAAATTTTCTCTGCACAAAATGTTTCTGATAGAATAAAAATTTCTAACTCATTTCATTTCACTCTCTTCATCTATTTTAACAATCAATTTTACACTTCTAGTTTTTGTTCATCAACACATGACACCTTCTCAACTTCAAATGACAACCCTTAATAACAACATGAATATATCTGACCCACCACTAGATTTTATAGGTACAGTAAAACAGACAAATATAAAGGTTGGGGGTTTAGTTTGGTTTGTTTTGTGTTATGGCATATCAACCTCAATGCTGACAAGATTTTTATTACTGGTAATATTTTTTTTTCAACAATGTATAGCTGGTAATAATGTATTGCTGGTAATAATTTTTCATCAAAAATTTATTCCTGGTAATAATTTTTTTACAAAGTATTTCTGGTATTTAAACCTATTTTTACACTTTCATAGCGTTTTGACTCCAGTTTGGGGGTTAACTATTTGTTCATAGCTGGGACCCTAACAGGTGCCACCACCTCTGGTCAGGGCAGACCTGGGAACATCAGCAATTAAGAGGTGGTTCCATGCTGCTCAAAGCTTCCTGATCACAGGCCTTGCTGTTGGATGGAGTTTATTGCCTTACCTAGGATGGGAAGGTTGGGGGATGTTTATTCATGCAAAAATCCATTGTAGGTACAGCACCAATTTTCTGTCACACTTGGTTCCAGAATTGTGTCAGATTATCTGTTTTAGCAGATAAACAGAAATCATATAATATAATAACTTAATAATACAACTCTGATCCAATAATTAAGCATTATATGCTGAATATAAATTAAGCCTAATGATCCACTGATTATGCATTACTTGTAAGGATCTGCAGATTATGCATTACTCGTAGTGATCCACTGATTATGGATTACTTGTAATGATCCTCATATTTGGAATTACTTGTAATGATCCGCAGATTATGCATTACTCGTAATGATTCACTGATTATGCATTACTCGTAATGATCCGCAGATTATGCATTACTCGTAATGATCCGCAGATTAGGAATTACTCGTAATGATCTGCAAATTACAAATTACTTGTAATGATTCACAGATTATCCATTGCTTGTAATGATCCATTGATTATGCATTACTCATATCTCAACAACATCATTGACTTAGAAACTTATGAAGACATTGAATACAATGCCCATGTTTTTCTGAATACAGCACCAGGATTGTTTAACATAAGGATCCCACACTTATACAGGGCATGGTAGAAATATCTCCCCCATAATGGTAAGACATGTGACAATGGAGTTACCATCTAGATAATGGAGTTTTCATCACAGAGGTTCACAACTAGGGTTCATATGGACTCTGGAGTCCATGTAACATTACTGGGGTCTACACAAACTATAGCAAATTGGGGGTTAATCACATATTTTAAAATGGTTTATTAAAACTTATTTTACTAGTGTACATAAAAGTTCCATAGAATTTAGTTGTTAAATATAAGTTTATTTTCATTAAATTAGTTTTAATTCAAATTAAAGCATATACATTTACTATTTCTATAATACAATTCCTAAACGTATCTAAAAAATAAAATCCACTTTCTTTTCCATCAAATGGTTATGGGGTTCCACAAAAAAAAAAATTAAGATTAAAAGTGGTCCATAAGTAAAAACATGTTGAGAATCATAAATCTAAAGAATTAAAGACTGGAATATTAGAAGTGATATAAAACAGAATCTAAGAATCTATTTTTTAAAAGCACCATCTTTTATTTCCCCTGCCTATGTGTTAAATAGTAGGACTTGTATATATAAAAAAAAAGTTATTAATGTAATATTCACTTGCAAAAAAAAAATTTCTTACAGTTCAGAATGTTTTAGCTTTAAATAACCCACAAAGGGTTGATAAATCATAAATTCTAAATTAATTAATATATTAATAAATTTGACATTGTGAAAAGGGGTCTTCTTTGATTATCATTGACATCGATGGAGCCAAATATAAAATAAAACTCGCAGAGCAGGATCAACCACAGTGATCTTATTGAATAAATCTGCACATTGTTTTTTAAATTTATTAATTATTAAACATACTTTAAAATGGTTTATCATGCACTATTTTACTAGTGTACATGAATGTTCCATAGAATTTTTAGTTGTTAAGTAGAAGTTTATTTTCATTAGATTAGTTTTATTTCAAAATAAAGCATATACATTTACTATCTCTATAATACAATTCCTAAACATATCTATTAGTAAAAAATAAGCTTTCTTTTTCATCGAATTGTTATGGTGTCCATCAATAAAAGTAAGGTAAAAACAGGTTGTGAACTATTGATTGAGTTAATGTTGGAGGTACTTTTGCCACACCCTGTACTTGGGACCAGAATTAAAAAGTAGTTATTTTTTGTTTTTTTTTTAACAAAGTTATTAAGAAAACTTATTAAATTATTATTAAATACAACTCTATCTGTATCTGTCTGGTGAATTAGTGTGGCAATTGTGTGAAATTCAAATAACTTTCTCATAATTTTGTCTGAGGATCTGAATCAACAGTTGCTGGAAAATCAAAGTAATTGCAGATTATGAGGATAAGTATGATAGATAATGGGTGATTAAGAGGTTATGATTGAATTGCTCAGGGAAGCATCCTCTTGGGAGTCTGTTATGTAAAGTAACAGTTTTTACCAATGGAATACAGATGGAACAATGATAGTTCAGCCTTGTGTATATAGCACAGCAGGTCTTAGCTGCGCGTTCCTGAACTGATGGAACTAGGGAATGTAGTTTGTCAGAACATTTTTCATGGGAATAGGGGTAGCAAGAGGCTTGTGAAATTGTGTCTGTAGGAAAAGAGTCGTAATGTGGAAAATAATTCATCACCCAAAAGGCCATGTAGATGCTTTTGAAATTTTGGCTGAAAAAGGATTGGGCAGTACTAGCAATATTCCATTTAAATAAAGGTTTTACTATCTGTCTATATTTCTAAGATGAGGTATTGTAATTATTTACATTTGTTCAAACTTGTTTTCACCTTTATTTTCATGTTCACAACGTTTCAGCCATTGTATGCTCCGGCTTTCTTCAGGTTACTGGAATTTCGAACTGAACCCTTTATTTCATCCATTGGGGTAAACTGTTCTAATTCCACATGCCATGTCTTCAAGGACCCACAGCCTAGTGGATAAAAATATTGGTTGGATCGAATGACTTGGCCCAAAGAGTCGTGAGTTCAAGATTTGGCTATGGTATTGATGAACAAAAATTTGGGGAATTAAGTTAAAGGGAGATAACATAGACATCTGAAAGAGGCATGGCATGTGGAACTAAAACAATCTACTCTGGTGGACAAAATAAATAGTTCAGTTCGAAATTCCAATCACCTGAAGAAGGCCAGAGTGTAAAATGGCTGAAACATCGTGAACATGACAATATAGATGAGGGCAAACAGTGTAAGTAATGTAAATAAAGGCTTTACTATACAGCAAGTCCTAAGACTCTTCTGGGATAAATGAAGGACCCTACCTTTTAAGCCAAAGGCCACCAACTTTGGCAAAATCTGTGTTGTTGTTCACTTTCTCATCTTCTAACATTGCCTCAAAATTTTGAAATTTTTCAGGATCTGTGTTATATTTTTGTTGTAATTTCTGGAAAAAATTGGAAAAACTTTTAGGGTCCCCTATTACTGTGAGGTTTTAAGGTGGAAAAAATTACTTCAAGTTGACTATCAATGGATTTTATAAGATTTATTTTTGCACATCAGTATCTACTGTTGTCACATAAAACAGAAAATAAAAATATGATAAAAAGCAACAAAAATAAAAAACAACAAAAAATACAATAAAAATAAAAATGAAAAATAATTTAAAGCAAATAATACAATAAAATTTAAAAATAATTTAAAACACAACAAAAATAATAAAATCCAAAAAATAAAAATACAATAAAAACAACAAAAAATAAAAATACAATAAAAACAACAAAAAATAACAAAAACAATAAAAATAAAAAATACAAATACAATAAAAAACAAAAAAATAAAAGAAACAATAAAATAAAAAATACAAATACAAAAAATGAAAATACAATAAAAACATAAAATAAAAATACAATAAAAATCTACAAAAAATAACCATAATAATAAAAACAACGAAAAGTAACAAAAACAATAAAAACAACAAAAAATAAAAATAGAATAAGAAACAAAAAGTCATGTTTTTACTCTAACTAAAGTAGTTTTAGTAAATATTTACACACCCCATAATCCCAAAATTTAAACAGGTTAAGATTGTAGTGATTGGGGAAGCATCCTCTTGGGAGTCGATTCCACAAAGCAGTGGTTCATGGGAAGAAGCTGCTTGAGTGGAACTTACATCTCACTAATGAAATATAAAGGGAATTGGGGTGGTTTGCTACAATGGGGTGGCATGGCAGGTCTTAGCCGTGAAAGGTTGGGACTGGTGAATTAAAGGAAAGAGAAGATAATGGTTTACCCTAGAGTTGAACAGGTTAAGATTGTAGTGATTGGGGAAGCATCCTCTTGGGAGTCGATTCCACAAAGCAGTGGTTCATGGGAAGAAGCTGCTTGAGTGGAACTTACATCTCACTAATGAAATATAAAGGGAATTGGGGTGGTTTGCTACAATGGGGGTGGCATGGCAGGTCTTAGCCGTGAAGGTTGGGACTGGTGAATTAAAGGAAAGAGAAGATAATGGTTTACCCTAGAGTTGAACAGGTTAAGATTGTAGTGATTGGGAAGCATCCTCTTGGGAGTCAATTCCACAAAGCAGTGGTTCATGGGGAAGAAGCTGCTTGAGTGGAACTTACATCTCACTAATGAAATATAAAGGGAATTGGGGTGGTTTGCTACAATGGGGTGGCATGGCAGGTCTTAGCCAAGAAGGTTGGGACTGGTGAATTAAAGGAAAGAGAAGATAATGGTTTACCCTAGAGTTGAACAGGTTAAGATTGTAGTGATTGGGGAAGCATCCTCTTGGGAGTCGATTCCACAAAGCAGTGGTTCATGGGAAGAAGCTGCTTGAGTGGAACTTACATCTCACTAATGAAATATAAAGGGAATTGGGGTGGTTTGCTACAATGGGGGTGGCATGGCAGGTCTTAGCCATGAAGGTTGGGACTGGTGAATTAAAGGAAAGAGAAGATAATGGTTTACCCTAGAGTTGAACAGGTTAAGATTGTAGTGATTGGGGAAGCATCCTTCTTGGAGTCGATTCCACAAAGCAGTGGTTCATGGAAGAAGCTGCTTGAGTGAACTTACATCTCACTAATGAAATATAAAGGGAATTGGGGTGGTTTGCTACAATGGGGTGGTATGGCAGGTCTTAGCCGTGAAGGTTGGGACTGGTGAATTAAAGGAAAGAGAAGATAAATGGTTTACCCTAGAGTTGAACAGGTTAAGATTGTAGTGATTGGGGAAGCATCCTCTTGGGAGTCGATTCCACAAAGCAGTGGTTCATGGGAAGAAGCTGCTTGAGGGAACTTACATCTCACTAATGAAATATAAAGGGAATTGGGGTGGTTTTTGCTACAATGGGGGGTGGCATGGCAGGTCTTAGCCGTGAAGGTTGGGACTGGTGAATTAAAGGAAAGAGAAGATAATGGTTTACCCTAGAGTTGAACAGGTTAAGATTGTAGTGATTGGGGAAGCATCCTCTTGGGAGTCGATTCCACAAAGCAGTGGTTCATGGGAAGAAGCTGCTTGAGTGGAACTTACATCTCACGAATGAAATATAAAGGGAATTGGGGTGGTTTGCTACAATGGGGTGGCATGGCAGGTCTTAGCCGTGAAGGTTGGGACTGGTGAATTAAAGGAAAGAGAAGATAATGGTTTACCCTAGAGTTGAACAGGTTAAGATTGTAGTGATTGGGGAAGCATCCTCTTGGGAGTCGATTCCACAAAGCAGTGGTTCATGGGAAGAAGCTGCTTGAGTGGAACTTACATCTCACTAATGCAATATAAAGGGAATTGGGGTGGTTTGCTACAATGGGGGTGGCATGGCAGGTCTTAGTCCTGAAAATTAGAACTGGTGGGGCTAAGGAATATAGTTTGTCTGAATGCTTTCTATGGAAATAGCAACAGAGTAGTGTCTTTTTTCGTTTTATCTGTGTGAAAGGGGGCTGTAGGGTGGAAAATAATAAATATAATAATAAATTTGAGAGCACAAATGCCGAAACATTGCAATAACAACAACAACAATAAAAATAAGGACAATAGTCAAAATGTAAATAACTCAAATGATATAGATTTATAAATTCTTATTCAAATACATTATAGTTAAACGTGATACTTCATGATTGAGAATACAAATTTTTTTATGGTTAAGTAAAATATTCAGAAAATCTCTATATATATATATATATATATATATATATATATATATATATATATACATATAAAAAGAAATATAGTTTTAAGGTGTGTTATATTTATGGGATAAAGTGCTCAATATCAGAGATAGAGCATACGCAAATATAAATATAAAAGTGAACATTGAAGTCAACACGCAGAGGCTGTTTCATGCTAGCTGCAATCGTCAGGCGGCCTGATGATTGCGTCTAGCATGAAACAGCCTGTCACCTCTTAGTGTTGACTTCAATGTTCACTTATACATATATTATATATATATATATTATATATATAATAGCTGGCCACTCGTATTCAAGGATACCTGTCCACTAGGGCGACTAGCCAATCCCTATTGCAAACACTTGCTCAGGCACATTTGTGTTTTCCCAACACCCACAGAGCCAACCTGTGGTTTATACTGCAATTATGCTGAGCAGACCTTAGTTACAGTTTCTGGGAGTGAGCATGTTATCTAGCGTGGTCAACAATTTGAACAAGGCCAGCACGCTCAAGCCATTGGCCACGATGACTTGTGGTTTTTGCTAGCACAGCTATCAACGGCTGTCAAGAGTTCTGTCTATCTAATTTCACTCACAAGATTTGGGTCAACCTATGGTATGATTTTCAGACACTTTCCAAAGGTACCACATGCTGGAATCATCCCCCTCCAGACTGATAACATCAGGAAGTTTCCTTCCTGACAAATCAACCATGATGAGATTTGAACCTGGGTCTAAGAGTCAGAAAGCGAACGTTCTAACCACTCAGCCATGCACCCATTTATTTATATGATAGAAATTATTAGGAGGATTTGATAATTATATTTAAGTAATTCATTGAGTCTGAAAGAAACCTCAACAGAATGCAGAAAGCACTGGACGGCTGTTTCGTCCTATATTTGGGACTCATCAGCAGTGCACATCCACTACCGAGAATTGAAACCCTGACAGGTTGTCAAGCTACATGTAGTCACATCAACATAAACAACTCTTTAGTTCAATTAAGACCTTAAGGATGAAATATGACACACAAAAAATTTTTCAGCTTTGTCATAGATTTTCCTAAAATATATATGTGTGTGTGTTTTATGAAAAAAGTATCGACATTTTATGGCCATTAAGTTTGATCATCTATTTTTCTAAGTTATGAATGATCTTTTGCAAAAACTGGCTGCTGTAGATGTACAAAATTTCCAAAATCTATATAATTGCAGTGTCTGAGATTTTGAATCATCATCAGGTGTTGGTAGACAGTGAATTTACAAACTTTATAACTTTTCAGTAAACTTTGAACTTTGAAAATTTAAATTTATTGTTTTCTTCTGTCTTCTTAATTTGTGTTCTTTTCTTGAATTCTTTCCTTAATAATGTTTTTTTTTTTATCATATTCTTTCACATTCAGTAACCCCCTTGTGTCTCAGTGGCTTTATTGCCTTGCTTGGAGAGAAATGATTAAGAAAAAACACAAGAAAAAAATCTGCGAATTTAATTTGAAACATTTGTTAAAATTCATTGGTTCAGCATAAATGATTCCTTAATTGAATGTGAACAATCAGAATAACTTGGCAGCCATCTTGATTATGTCATAGGCAAGGTCATAGGCAAGGAAGCCTGGCTAGGAAAAGACTGCAATGTTTTTTTTTTGGTTGTAACATTTCATTCACATAGAATTACAAATTTAATTGCACTGTGACAATGCATCATACTGAGAAACATACTGCGAATATATAGTCAAAAAGAATCTCTGACCTGAGATCAGGTATTTAAGGGATTGAAAACTGAAAAAAAAAAAAAACAAAAAACACTTTTGTTTTTTCATTACAAATGACAGAATTCAAGAAGTCACTTTGTCTTACCTGAATATTTCCATTTACATCAGATTTCACAATCTTGAAGGTTGTGCCAAGACAGTCTAGAAAAGAAAGATTGATTGATTTATTATTTATGGTTTATAAACCCTTTATGGATTATTTTAAGCTAAATTATATTACAGATTGTAGGAGGTTGCTTATAGTACATGGTGTTCTGAAAACTATGTGATATGGCAGACTGGCATTTTTTTTCTCAATGTGTCAAGTACCTATAATGTTTCAAGGTAATACTGATTTATACTGGAAACAACATATGTAATGAATCTAATAAAAGTTGACTATTTTTTTATCTTCAATTTATTTTGTAAAAATAATTCAATATCAAAACACATAAAAAGTAATAAAAAAAACAAGCAGTTTATTAAGACAAAAACAAAAATGATTGTTGTATGTCCAGAAATTGCTGTCGCTTTCTGTCTGCAATCCGTCTAGTCTCGCCGAAGCCTAGAAAAGCAGTGGCCTCCCACGTCCACTCGCGGGGTTTTTAATCGGTAGCGGGGTTTTTAATCGGTAGCGTGGTTCTCTTATGCAAATAAGTCTGCTGCATAAAAATGGCAGTAGGCGCACGTGCAACCGACACTCAGAGAATGGTTCGACACGCAAGGCAACAAATTCGCTTTGCTCTTGGTAAGTCACTGTCACTCCTATTACAATTATATAACCTTAATCTTTACAAATGATTCCTTAGCATGGCCTGGACACTGATGGTTTGCATACCAGCACTGATCTGCGGACTACCACTTTGAGTAGCACTGGCTTATAGTACCTGCTGTTCTCAAGTGGTCCCCATCTAAGTACTGACCGAGCTTGATGCTGCTTAACTTTAATGATAAAACGGGAACCAATGGGGCTAGCATAATAAAATCTGACAGTGTATTAATCTTGAGTGTCAATTTATTACTAACCAGAAATTGATCCCTGACTTTGTATCCACTAAAAACTTATATTAATATATACCATAAAAATAACTTGAACATTTTCCCAATATTGCTTGGCTAATACCAATTTTATGGTGAAAACATTCACTTAATAATAATTGATGTTTTTTTTTTATGATTTATCAACCCTTCAATGGTTATTTAAAGCCAAAACATATTTTGAATTGTAGGAAGTTACTTATAGTTTTTTCTTTTTTTTTAAGCATTTTGCCCTAAACAAAGCGAGAGTGCCATTAGCACACAGGGGTTTAGAGAGAGTAAAAGTGAGGGAAAAGACTGTCTATAGAGGGGATTGAGGAAAGGATAAAAGATGAACAGTAATCATGGCAACATGATGGCGATTGAGGCTGCATTAAAATTTTTGAAGATTGTATATATGATGAAGTCATATAATACTCTGTGGATATATATATATATAAAAGTGAACATTGAAGTCAACACTCAGAGGCGATAGGCTGCTTCATCCTGGATACAATTGTCAGGTGGCCAGATGATTGCATAATACTCTTTGGATCAGTTTTAATATCTGATATTAATTACTATGATCCACCTGGATTACATATCAACAAATCTATTACCTGTACTATATATATATATATATATTATATATATATGTATATATATAGAGAGCATAATGAGAAGCCACATGTACTTTCTTAATATGTATATATATATAAAAAAAAAAGTTGCAAATTAAAAAAAATAATAATGTTTTTTATGAAAGTATTTATTTATATTTGATATTTCAGATCGACCTCAATCTTTCTTTCTGAAGAAAGATTGAGGTCGATCTGAAATATTTTAATTTGCAACTTTTTAGTTGTTATATATATATATATATATATATATATATATATATATGATGAAATGAATCACAAAAACTTTTGCCAATTTATCATACATCTTTCTTTTCAGAACTGTTCTTGATATATAAAAATTTTTATACTGTTACCCTTTCCTGAATTCTCCCCCCCCCATTTGAACACCTTTGTTCAGCACTGATTCATGATTCCTTGGCGGCATCTTCACAGGTGACACTTTAGCCTTTGCACTGAGTCACACTTGTGGCCACAATTGGTGCACTTTAATCAATTGCTAACAGATGGTTGGATGGGATGCCTTGATTTGAAATGCCTTGTTATTACTGCACACCATTCCAGAGACTGTACCAATGGAGTTCTCAAGAAAGGCTGCAGCATCAGGCAACTGGTGAGAATTAGAATGGCTATTTAGACTTGCCTTAGATAGACAAATACAACCACAAATGTTACAGGCAAGAATATCTTTAAAACTTTTCTGTGTAATGAGGGGGAGGAGACAACCACTCCATATTTTACCACACACTTAACTTTTGCCTAATCATTCCGTCTATACTCAAAACATTTTATAGTTCGCATTAATTCAGCTTTGGTTTCCTCTCCACATGTCTTAGAATCAATGACAGCTTTCTTGAAAGGGTATTTTACACAATCTTACCAACTGGTCATTATATATATATATATATATATCTAGATACACACACACACACACATACAAATGTACACACATATATATGCACACATACATACATATATATATATATACACACATATATATATATATATATATATATATACACACACACACATACATATACACACACACATATACACACACACACACACACACATAAGTATGACCATATAGCTGAGTGGTTAGAACAGTCGCATTCTGACCATGAGACCTAGGTTTGAATCTCACCATGGTCAATTTGTCAGAAACAAGACTTCCTGATGTTATCAGACTTGAGGGATTGATCCCAGTGTCTGGTACGTTTGGAAAGTGCCTGAAAACCATAACACACGTTGACACCAGGCCTTGTGAGTGAAAGTGGGTAGATGGAACCCTTGGTTGCCATTGATAGATGTGCTAGCATGATGTCACAAGTCATCGTGACCAAGGGACTGAGCATGCGGGCCTTGTTCAAATTGTTGATCATGCTAGATAACATGCTCTGTGGGTGCTGAACAAATACAAAATATGCCTGAGCAAGTATCTGCAATAGGGAATGCCTAGCCACTCTAGTAGATGGGTATCTTTGAATACAAGTGACCAGCTATATATCTCAATTGATAGTTAGTAGGGACAATTTCAAGGATATTAATCTAAAAAGAGCTCAATTTAAGAACAGAGCAATATAATAATGAATACAGAGTACTTAAAATCCATCTGGTTATAATTTATTTCATGGACATTTGCATTCATCTCTTCAGACCAGCGTTTTGCTAATAAATGGAGTCTATTTATCCAGGCGTCCTGGGTATGGTGATAAACTACATCCAACAGTATGTTCAGGAGGTTTTGGAGAGCACGGAACCACCTCTTGCAGGTGTTTCCAGGTCCACCCTGACCCAGGGTGGTAGCACCAGTTAGGGTCCCAGTTATGGGCAAATAGTTAGACCTCAAACTGGGGTCAAAACACTATGAAAGCGTAAAAATAGGTTTTAATACCAGCAATAAATTTTTTGAGGAAAAATTACCAGCAATGCATTTTTGAAATAAAAGATATTACCAGCAATATATTTTTGAAGAAAAAAAAATTATTACCAGCAATACATTTTTTGGAAAAAATATTACCAGCAATAAAAATCTTGCCAGCATTAAATAACCCATTGAGGTTGATATGCCATAAACCAAACCAATTTATCCATACATAAGGAAAAGGAAAAAAACTTATTTCATTTGATTGATGTCAAATATAATAATAATAATAATAATTATTATTATCAATTTGTAATTGTAATGTTTATAATGTAATGATGATTTTGCTGCCAAAAATGACTAGACAATCCAATGTATCTACTTTGAATCTAATCACCTCCCACCCTCACCCTGTTTTTTTTAACTTGTCCAGTCCTGAAAGGAAAAATAATTTCTTGTTATCCTATCAGCCCATACTTAGTTCTTCCTTCTTTCCTTCCTTCTTGCCTCCCTATCTCTCCCTCTGTCTTTCTCTTTTCCACCCCACAATTTTTTTTAAACCTTATACTGAAATTTTTAATTTTTCCTTCTTCCTTTTTAATATTAAAACATTTTTTTCCCCTCTTCCTTGCATCTGAATAAATTGACTCCATTTATTAACAAAACGCTAGTCTGAAGAAATGGATGTAAAAGTCCACTAAATAAATGAAAACCCAAATGGATTTTTAAGGATTCTGTATTCATTAATATATATTATAAATTAATTGATTTAAAATATGTTGTTTTTTTTGCATTTTCTCCATATTTTCTTCTTGTTAAAAATAAAGATTTAGAGTGCTCGACTTTGATTAGGAGCAAATGTATGTATATAAATAAAAAGAAAGAACAGTAAGATATATAATCCGGTGTTCTTATAGATATTTTTATTTTTATAAAACAGTGCTCAATGTAAATTTACAGAGCATTAATATTATAAATTAATTGATTTAAAATATAGTTTTTTTTCTCCATATTTTCTTCTTGTTAAAAATAAAGATTTAGAGTGCTCTACTCTAAATCTTTATTTTTAACAAGAAGAAAATATGGAGAAAATGCGAAAAAAACCATATTTTAAATTAATTAATTTATAATATTAATGCTCTGTAAATTTACATTGAGCACTATTTTGTAAAAATATCTATAAGAACACCGGATTATATATCTTACTGTTCTTTCTTTTTTATCTATCTATATATATATATATATATATATATATTACTAGCAAATTGTGTTTATATAACATAAGCAGTAATAATTAATTTGCATAAAAATTTTTATAAATATATTTTAATCAATATTTCCTGTTATTTATTTTTAAAAATTGCCATATATAAGTATTGTTTCTGCCAATAATTTTTTTTTCTTAATTAATAGTGTTTGAATAGAAAGTATTTATCTGTGCCTTGTCAAAATTCTGCCATAAGTTAGAAAACCTAGAGTGTTCATAATATGCATTGCTGTTGTCTGATATTTCACATAATCTCATATTAGTTGAATGGAGCCAGAAAAACTTTTACTTTCATCAAAACACTCTGTTTAATTAGATTTTCTTAAAACTGTACCAAAAAATTTTATATTTATAAATTCACATGAAGATAAATTTTGTCTGTGTGTTCCCATTTTATATCAGCCGAACAAAACAGCCCAACCCAGTCCATACTGTTATTTCATTGCCACTGACTTTATTTTCGAAGGTACAGGCAATTTGTAGGCAGCACATCTGGGTTATTCCATTAAACCTGTAGATAGAACATCTGGACTATTTTATCAATTGTTTTCCATTATAAATGACAAAATGAGTTTTTCTTTGTATCAGCCAATGATATGATCAGGCCCAATGCCCTCAGCTTTTTTCAAGGTAAGTGGATTTCTTCTGAACAGTCCAGAGCAGCAAATTCTAGTGGACTTGGCATAGTGACAAAGAGAACTTTAGAAAATAGATTTCTTGCTGAAAATGTTGTTTATACAGAGATTTTAGGGCGGCAAGAGAACTTATTACTCTTCTCTCTCTGTAGGATGCGTTTTTTGTTTTTGGTTTTTTTTTAAGCATTTCACCACAAACAATGCTGGAGTGCCACTAGCATGCAAGGGGTTACAGAGAGTGAGAGCAAGAGTAAAGAGGGTATTTCTTAAGCATTTCACCCCTAGCAAGGCAGGAGTGCCACTAGCATGCAAGGGTGGGGGTGTATAGAGAGTGAGAGCAAGAGTAAAGAGGATGTTTGAGAAAAGGATATAGAGGAGGATGGGTATCAGTATCAAGGCATCAAAAGATGTCGATTGACATTACATTTGAATATTTGAAGATTATGGAATCTTACTTATTATAAAACGCAGATTGTGTGTGTGTGTGTGTGTGTGTCTGTACGTTTATATATTGGATCGGATTTCCTACATTTTTCAACCTATTTCAATAAAACTTCACAGGACTGCATAAAATTACCTTGCAGTGGTTCTGACAGTGCCAAAAATTGGGAAAACACAATTGTTTTTGCACGAAATCAATTTGAAAACACGATTCTGTCGCCAGAATGAAAGGGGAACAACTCATATCGAGTTATACTTATTATAAAACCCAGGTTGTTTGAATGTGAGTGTGTGTTCGTTTATATATGGGATCGAATTTCCTACATTTTTCAACCGATTTCAACAAAAGTTCACTTTTTTTGCCAGGTAGTGTTTCTTATTGTCTTGCACACTTTTTATTTTTACATTCAGAATGCTTTAAAATTCCATTTACAAGACAATTGTTTGTAATAAAATTGAAAAATTCTATTCAATCAGTAGACTCATAACGATTGAAAACAATGTTTTTGTTTGAGTTTGGGTTTGACTAATTCGTAAAAAAAAAAAAAAACAAACAAAAAAAACCTAATTAAGACATGCGTGTCCATCAACCTTAAACTTTAATCTTTGTCAATTTTATTTTTCAGTCTTTATGATGGTCGATACTTGATCTATCTCTTACTCAACTGTTACATCCCCGGGCAATGCCGGATTCTACTGCTAGTTAATTATAAGAAAGGTTTTGTTTTGTTTTTTTTAAGCATTTCACCCCAAGCAAGATGGGAGTGCCACTAGCATGCAAGGAGTTACAGAGAGTGAGAGCAAGATTAAATGAGGTGTTTGAGGAAAGGATATATAGAAGGATGGGGTTCAAAATCAAAGCATAAGAAGATGTCGATTGACATGACATTTGAATATTTGAAGATTATAGCCATCAGGGAAGCAAGAGGAAGGGAGTGAAAGAGTGGAACCAAGATGCCAACCTAGTAGCTTGCTTAAATTCATGCTGTTGGAGTACCAGTGAAAGTAGCTTGTCAGAACAGTTGCCATGAAAATATTTGTAGAAAAGATAGAGGGAAGCCACAGCATGTTTGTGTGAAAGTGACTGTAGATGACATGCCAGATCAGGATCTATCAACTCGTTAGTTTAAATCGGATCAAAATTCTTTATTGTAAAAGAAAAAAAAGCAATAGAAATTGAATCAAGATGGATTGATGTCAGCTGCTGATGTTGCATTTGTTCGTATGAACATGTCAATGTCAACAAAGCAGAACAAAGGCAATGACTGCCTACATTTACTGTTCAGTACTTGCCCCACATAACTAAGGCATGCAAATTAATTAACACGGCCATTGTTATTCAAATGCACCCATTAATGCCATCTGTATTTATCAGTCACAGTTTTTCTAAATGGCTAGTTCATCAAAAGGACACAATTCATCTAATAGTAAGCACCACTCAAACCCAGGGAAGAAAAAAAAAATTCATTGCCCCTATCATACCAGTCAAGCCCTAATCTAGAAACTCATAACCTGTTGCCTTGTTTCTCTTTTACAGTTTGCCTCAAAGACGAGCAATAAAAACAAAAGAGAAAGCACAAAATCTTCACTTGTTATTGCTCATGTATTTTTCTAATTTCATCACATCTTTCACGATGGAAGTCACATGATAAATAACAAGATAGATAACTAAAGAACAAGACATAAGTTGGTTGGTTGTTTTTGTTTAGTGGCATATCATATATCATATATGTGTTATATATATCATATATGTGTTATATATATCATATATGTGTTATTTAATGCCAAAATCTAAATATTTTGAATACTATTTTATTTTATTTTATTCATTTTGAAATAATAGTAATTTTAATGATACAAGTCTTACTAATAAACCCATAGATGGAGGGAGACGAGGTGGAGTCATACCTTTCTCAATGGTATTTTCATGAAAGTGAATATAATGAACCCATCTGGAATTGGAACTCAGCTTTTCAACTAACAATTCCAAGCAATTATTCATTACACCACCTGCACATCCTAGCTTACAACTCCTGGTATTCCCAAGCAGTCACCCATCTAGGTATTGACCAGGCTCAACATTGCTTAACTTCAGTGATCATATGGGTATCTGTGTTTCAACGTGAAAGCAGCATTATAAGTAATAATTATATAAAATTACTAGTTAACGAGCCTTATAATAGCATGTATACAAGATTGAACAGCATTTGTAACAGAATGTACATGCATCTCCCCAGCATCCATCCCAGGGTGATAGCACTTGTTAGGGTCCCGGCTATGGGCATATAGTAAACTCCCAAACAAAATTCAACAGTACATTTTATAATAAATTGACTAATACATTCTTATAGCAAAATGATGATGCAACACTAGAAAAATATAAGAAATACATTTTTGTAGTAAAATTATCCACAATAGATTTTATGATCTACAAATTACATATCTAAAATAACATACCTTTACCCTGATAGTATAAAATTACGTACAAAATATCTGTAGTTGAAACATAAAATTACGCACAAAATATTTAGGTTTTAGCATTAAATAACCCATAGAGGTGTTGATATGCCACTAAACAAAATCAACCAAAATGAGTAGGAAGAACCAAAAATAGTCAGCATTACTAAGGCCAACTTTTTGTTGATGCAAAAGAGTTTGCCAACAACTGGTATTTTCCAAGAATGAAATCCTCAGCTCTTCTTTCTAAGGGGTCATCTTTTTACGTGTCATTTAGGGTACAGTTTTGTTTCACAACTCTTATTACATAATGATTCTTTTATCATTTCATCGGTTTTATAAAGTTTCAATAGGTTTCTAAATAGTGAAACCCCAAACAAAAATCAACAGTACATTTTTATAATAAAATGACTGACAAAAACATTTTTATAGCAAAATGACAATGCAACACTAAAAAATATAAAAATACATTTTTATAATAAAATTACCAAAAATACATTTTATGATCTATAAACTACATATCTAAAATAACATACCTTTACCCTGAGAGTATAAAACTATGTACAAGGCATCTGTCATTGAAAGCATAAAATTATGTGCGGAACATTTCAAATTCAGCATTAAATAACCTATAGAAGTTGATATGCTGTTACCATTTTCTCTAATTAAAGATCTTATAAGAAGTACAAAATGTAATTAATTAATGCAATAAAACAAAGATAATTAGAAGTGGGAGACAGTCAAATAAGAATGCTGATAAAACTAACCTCTCTACAAACTGTATATCTGAAAAGAATACATCAACGAAACCAGACTCTCTATACATCCTCTTTGCAGTATATTGCTACTGGACTCAAATAAGGCCATATATATATATATATATATATATATATATATATATATATATATTGTTTGACTTTTGGTGAATGGGTAGAATGGAGGAGAATCAAAGAGGTTAGATTGCCCACACAGAAATTGATGGAGCCAAATCTTCGGTGAACCTCTAGCCAGCTTCTCTCCCAGATCAAGAATTGGACTGGTTTTATAACATTTGGACATCCATGTAACTTCATGTGGCTACGCCTTCTTCCAGTATATCACCAATGCAACATTGTATGCTTACACCTCTTCCAGCATGCACCCACGCAAGCACACATTTTATTCCATTCAGGACACCTGTACACTCTGCTTATTCTATGCTCAGCACACCTGTGTGTCCTGTTTATTTTAGCCACTGGATGTATTTCCTGTTTATCCTATCACCAGTTCCAATTTCTGCTCACAAACTGATGCAGTGAAAGTAAAGTTAAAGGTCTTTCCTCAACAAAATGATAATCTTGTATAGACATCTCTATCCTAAATGGAAATCTTATATAGACGTCGCTATCCGAAACGGAAATCTTGTATAGACGTCACTATCCTAAATGGAAATCTTGTATAGACATTGCTATCCAAAATGGAAATCTTATGAAGACATCGCTATAAAAAAAATAGAAATCCTATATATATATATATATATATATATATATATATATATATATATATATATATATAATTATCTAAAACAGAAATATTTGGCTACACATGTTCAAATCAAAACTCATTTAAATATCTGGGAAGTGTTTTAATAAAGACTGGAAAGTACAACATTGAAACCTAAAGGCACATTAGAATGGAGAAAGATGCCTTCCAAAAGCTAAGAATTAAGAAAAAAGAAAAACATACTGAACTGTTATGTAATATCAGTCCTCTTATATGATAGTGAATGCTGGGCAATCTCCTCACAGATGAAGAAGAGACTTGAAGCAACAGAAATATTGATGCTGGGGAATGCCATGGATTGAACATGACAGCAATGACAAAGTTTTAGAGAAAATGGCAAACAAAAAGGACACTCATACTTAGCATGAGAAAGAGACAGTTGATATTTTTAGGTTATATGAGGAAGGAGAGTATTATGGGGTCCTCCCCTTTTTCATATAAGTGGACTCAACCAAAGTGTTACTTGGACTGTTGCCGTTAAATACCCAGAGTCAGTCAGAGTACAGGGAGTGAGTAGAGATAGAGAGAAGACTGAGATTGTGATTGAGTTGGAGGTAGAGTAATAGTGTGAGGTAACTGCTTATAGAAGTCAGTTACAAGCACGTAAACTCTAAGGAAGTCCTACTTCGAGACTGTATATATCTATATGTTATTGCTACTAACCGTGTTCCTGGATTTACTAACAGTATTACCCTTTGTATTATTGTGTAAATACATTTTATTTCTTATCTTTAATTCTTGCGTTTGTCATTCATTGGAGACCGAATTTCATCTTGGAATCCACAATAGAGAGCTTGGAAAATTTGACACTCACAGGGCATATTGAAGGTAGGAGGGATGGTGGAAAACAATGCATAACTCCTGCCCAACGAGCTGGTGTAAATGGATGTCAGAACAGGGATTAGGAGAGATAACAAAAAGGTAAAATTTCATAAGAGCTACAAAGGACAGGAAATTGTGGAGAACCATGATCAACAACTTACTGAAAGGACTTGGCACATAGAAGAGGAAGAGATAAGAATAAGGTGAGGGATTCCTTGTAAAAAGGAATTTGTCTCTCCAAACATTTCTAGAGAGAATTTTCACTTTGTAGCAACAGACATGTCCGAAACTTCTCAGAATTGGAAGTCTTTCATTTACTTTCTTTTCCTCTTTTACTGATGAGTAGTCGGTAAAATATCCTTATCAAGGACAATAAAAGCAGCAAACAAGTAATGAATATTTCATAAATAGGTTCATTGAGAAACAATTTGAGTGATGAATCGAAGAGCAAAGGCTGGCCTGGATATATTTACTTGATTGATCTGGTCATGGGAACTTGGTTCCAATTCCCTCAGTAGCACTAAGTTTTTTATCACCTGTCAACTGATACAGATTTCATTCCAAAATGTAAAATGCGGTTTCACTAAACAATAACGATTTCAAATGTCCCATTCACACTCCTCCCCAGCCTTTTGAACAGGTGTAGAAGTTTATCCTTTGTTTTCTGTTGAGGATTGGGTTAGTAGTTCATTCTAAAGTCTATTTCAACTCTATACTTCTAAAGTCTCCCACCAAAAATTTTTTAGAGAGAATTTTCACCAAAACTGCTCAGAATTGGAAGTCTTTCATTTACTTTCTCTCCCTGATGAGTAGTTCGTAAAATTTCCTTATGAGGGACAATAAAAGCAGCAAAAACAAACCATATGTTGTTTGCTATTTAAACCTACAAGAAAAAAGACTTGAAGAATAAACAATAGCAAAGTGGTATTTTATATTCAGCCAGGATTTTCCCAAAAATAAAGCCAAATTATCAATTTTGCATAAACAATACTTAAAAGTGAAGGAAAACAGAAGCAATAAAGTGCCGAGTAAACTTCAACGGCACTTCTAACATTTCCCTAAAATTCTTGGTACATTTACATCAATTTACTATTTATGGCAATAACTGTTGAATTATCATGAATTCTGTTCATTAAAAGGCTTACAGACATATTACTTTAAAACACCAGTTCATGCACAATCACCAAAGTTAAGCAATGTTGAGCTTGGTCACTACCCATATATTGCTGCCATACCTGGGCTGGAATTACCCAATCCTCACTTTCCATCCTAAAACCCCTTTCTTACCAACAAAATGTTACAAGATGGCAAATATTCTGTTATAATTGTTAATAGATTTCACTTTGAATGTTCAGTTTTACTCAATAAATACCGAATGTTTGGCATCCTGGGTAAGACAATAAACTACATCCAACAGCAAAGCCTTTGATCAGGAGGTTTTGAGGAGTGTGGAATGATCTACTAGGGCAGCTAGCCAGCCTAGTAGATGGGTATCCTCAAATATGAGTGGCCATATATATATATATATATATATATATATATATATATCTCAAATGATAGTAGGGACAATTCAAAGGAGGATAAGATGTAAGAACAGAGCATAAGAACAGATATAATAATGAATACAGAATCCTTAAAAATCCTTTTGGTTATAATTTATTTCATAGACTTTTATATTCATCTCTTCAGTCCGGTGTTTTGTTAATAAATGGAATTAATTTATCCAGGGGTCCTGGGTATGACAATAAACTATATCCAACAGCAAGGCCTCTGTTCAGGAAGTTTTGAGGAGCATGGAACCACCTCTTAGTTGCTGGTGTTCCCAGGTCCAACCTGACCCAGAGTGGTAGCACCTGTTAGGGTCCCAGCTATGGGCAAATAGTTCATCCCCAACTGGGGTCAAAATGTGTAAAAATAGGTTTTAATACCAGCAATATATTTTTATAAGAAATTATTACCAGCAATAAATTTTTGAAAAGAAAAATTATTACCAGCAATGTTTTTTGGAAAAAATATTACCAGCAATAAATTTAAAAAAAAAAAAAAAAAATTACCAGAAATAAAAATCTTGTCAGCATTAAATAACCCATTTGAGGTTGATGTGCCTTAAAACAAAACAAACCAAATGTTCAGCAGATGTTTCTATATTTGGGAACTTGTTATGTGTGAAAAGGAAAAAAAAAAACAAATTCTATAAACACCTGTGAACAGGTGAAACTAACCTCACCACCCATTATGTAGGTAAATATAGATACAGGTAGGCAAGTAATGAATATTTCATAAATGGGTTCGTTGAGAAAC